CGGCCATTTTATAATAAACCACATGATCTTAGATTGGCTGTTCAAATTTGTATTGGTTTTCGTCCTGAAATTACCGAAGGAATTCCAGAAGTTTATATTCAAACAATGACTCAATGCTGGCACTCCGATCCTTCAAAGCGCCCAACTGCAGCTCAATTATATGATTTATTAGGAAGTTGGTCTGATCCTAATAAATCTGAACCATTTGACCAAGATGTAATTACTGAATCTCGTCAACAAATCCATCCTCGCGCTTATTACACAAGCAAACTCTTACACTTTCCCGAGGAGGTAAATGACTTTCTTCGTTGAAGAGACTCTCTTTTTAAAGTAGGGAAAAACCCCCCGTTGATTTTCACATAAATTAAGATAACAATTAAGATTATATAAATTAATACATAAGCAAACTATCGTACTTAAGATTAATAAATAAAGCAACCTAATATAATTTAATCATTCATACCATATCACACCATTTTAGAAGGATATAATTGGTAAACTATAATACCACAATGTTAAAATTTAATAATTGTTTCATGTTTATGTTGTCAGATGTCTACGGATACTAAATATAGAAATGATCTAAGATGTTGATAAGTAATTTAGGGTACAAATTAAAACAATCAATTTTTAATTTAAAATCTAAAAGTTTAAACGGAAAAATATCCGGTTTAAAAAAATTACCGGACCATAATATATTTTAATTAAAATTAAAGAAATTAAATTCTCCGTTTACATTGTGAATTCCCAAATTTCTAAACATTATTTAAATTATTTCTCAAATTGGTTTAATCAAATTTTGCTTTGAGAAACACGTTCACATTCCACGCTTGAAAAAGGAATTGAGTAAATAATACTCAATAAATTTTAATATATTTGGAAATCTTTGAAGTCGAACAATTTTGTAAACTATAGATAAAAATCCATTGATTGGCCAGCAAAAAGGTCGATCTTACATGATGATCTACATTGACGATCCAATAAAATTTAATTCACGTGATATATAATTCGAAAATTTCAATTAAAAATTTTATACTAGAATCGCGTCCACCCGATCTTTACCTTTTTATTGCTAATTTTTTTTTAAATTTAATCGCTCTTTATATGATTTTATGATAAATAATTACTTTATTTAAATAAAATATAATAAAATTTAAAAAACTATTTAAAAATATTTTTAAGTTAGAATTGTTTGCTTCAGGAATATCCTCTTTTGCAAAAGGATTATTAAATTGGTTGCGAAAAAATCTCAACTTTTTAGTCATAAAGTTTATTTTTTATATAAAAGTCTAAAGGTATATTGTTGCTAAAAGCTAATTATAAATTTTAATATATTAATATAGAATTTTTATAATATGATCACGAAATCTTAAAAAATATCTGTAAGTAATTCATATAATCTTTGGTTTAATGTAGGGATGTTAAAATCCAGTCCAGTCTTAGTTCATTCCTGAAACTCCCAGTTCTAAAGAAGACCCAATCCATAAGACTTGGGTCCTAGGACTGGATTATAGGATCAGATTCTGAGACTGCTATCCTAGAATCATGGTCTTATAGAAATTAGGATTTGTAGTCCTTAGACTATGATTTTATAGAAAAATAATCATTCAAGAAGAATGATAAGTAATTATTTGATTTAAATGATAAAAAAAATTTGTTTAAGAAGAATGATAATAAATCATTTAACTTAAATAATAAAAAAAATTGTTCAAGAAAATGATAACAAATCATTCAACTTGAATGAAAAAAATCATTTAAGTAAAACAATGAGAAATCATTCAAATAGAATGATGATAAATTGTTTAACTTGAATGATAAAAAAATTGTTTAAGAAAAATAATAAGAAATCATTTAACTTAAATAATTATTTTTCTATAGGATCGCAAGTTTTAATTTTTTATAGAACTGCAGTATTAGGACTACAAGTTCTAATTTCTATAGAATTGCAGTACTAGAACTGCAAATTCTAATTTCTATATGACCGCAGTCCTATAGTTTGAATTAGATTAGACTTTGTAAGACTATTTAGAACTTAGTCTTATAGAACTTTTAACATCTCTAATTTAATGCTTGTAAATTTGAATTTTCTCTAGCTGAATTGTATTTTCTTCTTGTAATAACTTCAAATTCAGAGTTAATCAGATTGATCTGAAACATACAGATTATCTGTATAATTTTTAAATCTAGATTATCAACTAGATTTAGTAAATATAGTAAATGAAATTCTAAATAGCATTTAAAAATCAGATTAAATCTTATTATAACATTATTTACTTTAAAATTATTTAAAAATAAATTTTTTATTTTTTATTTTTTTTTTATTAAGATTAGATTTTTAAAAAATGTATTCTTTATTTTATTAACTATTTTCTTTTTCTTTTTTTAAAAAAATAAAATAAAATAATTTAGTAGTATTCTAAGACATATTAATATATTAATGTATTAATATAAACATTACTTATTCAAGATTAATATGTTCTAAAACGTTATAATCTATTAATTAATATATCTTAAGATATTATAATCTACTAATTAATATGTCTTAGGATATTATAATCTATTAATTAATATATTCTAGGATATTATAATCTATTAATTAATATATCTTAGGATATTATAATATATTAATTAATATGTTCTAAAGATGGAGTCTATTTTCTCTCTCTATAACTATCAAAGTAGTGTAAAAGTGATAAGTGATAAATTTGCATTTAAATTTAGTCGGCACTATGACATAATTTTTGGCTAATCTTTAAGATGATCTGAAGATCTAAGTTAACACTATAGTAGTAACCTGATAGTACCTGAAACTCTCCTAGAACTATTATAAAACTGGTAGAAAACTGTTATAAAACTAACAGGAAGCTAAAAATATTCTATTTATTTGCCAATTCCAGCTCACTTTTATGTCAGCTTGAATACTGAAATATTATCTTAAAATTTACTATACATCATTTTTTTTAAAATAGATGTCACAAGTAGATATGTATATTATTAAAAGTATCATATAATAGTAATTCCAGGAAACTCAATAACAGATGATTCTTTATATATATATTGTTAAGAAAATCATCTGATAGTACTTTTAGAGGGCTCAGAATCAGATAATACTTTATGATATATATTATTAGGAAAATTATATAATAATGAGCCTAAGGGCTTAGTATCAGATGACATCTAGTGAAAATATATATAATGACAAGTAATTTATTGCATCTTAAATTCTAAATATTTTCTATAATAGCTGTCACTTTCTTGTAATTTTTTCACAACTTTTGAGAAATCACGTTCAGGTTATTTGACTACTAGAATGTAACTAAAATTTTTGAAACATTATATTCTAGAAAATTTAAGTAATTTTTAAATATATGATTTAAGAGATTGAAACCAGTGTTATAATAAATTTTTTATAATAGATTATGTATTTAGCTACTTTAAGTGTCCATATACATACTAGTGATAGGATATATAAGTGCTAATATTTATATAATAGATTATGCACTTACTTACCCTGGATGATATACCCAGATATATACTAGTAATAGGGTAGTTTTCTTCCATAATTTTATATAATATTCCTGAAGAAGACTACTTTAAATATTATCTATTAGAAATATGTTTATTCGTAATTTGTCTTATCAACTTGTTATGTATTTTTTTACATCAATGAAAAATTGCATCTGAGAATGAGGACTTTTTCTAATATTTTATATAATAATTCTGAAGTTACTTTTATCTCAAAGTATATATCTAAGTGTCTTTCTTTTTTGATTCATTTAATAAGTTTATTATCACTTTTTTTTACACTCATCAAAAAATTAATTAAACATTTTGAAATTATATTGTAATATAATAACTTTATCTAATGTTATTATATATATATCAACCAATTTTGACTAAACTGATTGTGAAATTCTTACTCACTATGAAGGCGCTGACTCTTTAGCTGATATTCTATCATGCAATAATATTATGGTAAAATATGATAATGGGATGACTGCTATACTTTAGTAATGCTTATTCAAAAAGCAACTCATATATTTTATGCCTACAGATATGAGTGATGAAACTGAAAATATAAAAAGAATTTCTTTTTATATTTTACATATCAGTGGTACTTTAATTAATAGTCAAAAAGCAATCGTAGGTATTATAGATATTAAACCCTTCTTTGATATTGAAGTGCCAGAAAATTATTTTTCATCTAGTCTCAGAGAATTCTCTTTATTTAAGACTATATTCATTAGTAAATTTTAGAGGCATTAATCCATACTAGTATATATATTAATTAACATTAACTGTAATTTAATGTTATACATAGTATTGTAAAATACTGAATAATAGAGTTTATCAACAGCTACCATTTTAAATGCATTTTTTAGCACTAACAGTTACTTAATATGTTATATACTATTGTACAATAGTGTATATAAATATATACTTTAACTTGTTAAAAAATCAAAAAATTTAAAAATTTAAACTTTATTTCACAAATTAAAACATGTAAATATTTACAAAATATTTATTTAATCATTTAGCATATTGAATTATATACACTAATTCAATGATTAATTTCACAGGTATAACATTAAATGTATTTATAATCTTCAATAAAAGTAATCATATTTGTATAAGTATCTTAGATTATTTTTATAATGAAAATTGTATCACTATATAAGGGTAAAGTCAAAAGATGAATATTTTTCAATTTCAACGTTAATTAATATAAGAACCTAAATATATAAATATATTATTATATTAATACTATTATAAAACTATTAGTATTATTGACTGTATCTTACCAAAACATACACCTTCATCTGTATTATAATCCTCTATTTCTTCTTCATTCATGTTAATTGATATATCGCTAAATGATAATTCATTATATATTTGCTTTTGTTCTAATATAATCTTTATTAAGAGTAGCATTAGTATAACTATATCAGCTTATTTTATAATTCATCATGTTAGTTAAGTTATTGCACAAGTCAAAAAAAATTATTTAACACTAGCAAAAAGTGTTCTAAAGCTATTAGAGCTTTGTCAGCTAAATCATTGGTTGATTTGTAATTATTAAAAAATATATCAAAATCTTTTAACAAAAATATGTCTAGCAAATCATTCATTAGGCTTTTTTGTCATCATTGATTAATAACTATATATTGATGTGATAAGTATTTAACTATCAAGTTACAATAAACCTATAAAAATAATTATAATTTATCTTTTATACACAATTATTAAAACAGTAAGTAAAATAAACACAACTGTTTTAATCATTTGATCTATTGCATTATGCTTGTTGCTAA